CCTTATTTTATCATCTTTTAATATGTTTTCGTTATGTACTCCGTCATTTCCCTTAATTAATTAATAAAAATCTTTATGTTTTTTGTTGTTAACAATCTTTTTGTTAATGTCAAAAGGGGGAAGATAAGGGCTATGCATATATTAAGGGGGAATTTTTTTAAGGGGGAATTTTTTTAAAAAATAAAAAGAACAAAACCCTATGCATATCCCCGTCTTGTTTGCCATTATCAAAAAGGGGGAAATTGTTGGAACACACTTTGTACGATAAACTAAAGTCGTGTTCATTTCTGACAGGTTTTGATAATTGCCAAACCGCCGTGGATATAAAGAGTTTCGTTGAATAACTCAAGGCGTGAAGAATGGCTTGGAACAAGACCTAAAAGACTCAAGGACAAGATCAAGAATTGAAGACTTAGTCGAGTTGGTCTTTTGTGATCAAAACCGACAATATATTCAAGTCTCGGTTCTCAAAAGTCAAAACAATTTTTACAATCCATAAATTATTTTTTTGTGCATCAAAACAAACATTTTTGATGATTTTTTATTGTTAAAATCCCTGGTCCTTGCTCAGAACCAAAACCACCTAAGTCGGCGTTCGGCTCTCGACGTTCGGCTTTCAGCGTTCGGTTTTTGGTGCCCGAACCAACTCCGTGGTTTTCAATATTTTAAACCCTGTTTTTACCTCTGAGCATTTTTAAAATATTTCCAAATAATTATTTTATAAAAACCACTTTTGTATCTTGGTCAATCGGTCTAATACGTGAAAAACGGTCTAAACCGTACGTACGTATTATACGACCTTGGAGACTTGGTTTTTACCAATCAAGTCTTGTTTTCACTATTTAATACCATATACAATACTACCTCCATCCCGCTATATTCGTCCAGTTTTGACTTTTGGAACTGTTCATCTAAGCACTTTGACTCATCAAATTCTCTCAATGTGTAAGCCTAAATATAGTCATGTGTGATCTTGTTTGATATGTCTTAACATATAGATTATTAATATATAATTTCTATAATTTTTTAATATACAAGTTATAAGATAAAATGGATTAAAGAAGTGTATTGGATGGTGTGTAAAAATGAAAGTGGACAAATACCCTGGGACGGAGGGAGTATTTTCTAAACCTGGTTTTTACTTTTGGGAACACTTCATTTTTGGACCTCGGTTTTTCAAAGCGGGTTTCAGCTAGCTAGACTTTAGCTGGGTGATAATTGATTATCACCTTAGTGACAATCGACTATCAGCCCCTGTAGCTTTGAACTTCCAAAGTTCTGAAGCACGCAATAATCGATTATCAGCTTTGCAATAATCGATTATCGGTCTTTGCAGCCAAAACCCAGAATCTTCTGAGAGGACCGATAATCGATTATCACTTGTTGACAATCGATTATCTGGGTTACCGTTGTCCTCCAACGGATAGAATTTTAAATTTTTGGACAGGGAATCTTTGGATAATCGATTATCATGCTTTGACAATCGACTATCAGCCCGTGTTCTTGAAAAATTTGTCTTCATCCTGTTGGAAATTCTAGCAACGGATTTATCCCATTTTGGGCTATAAAATGGCACCCAAATCCTCTCTTTTAACACACAATTCTTCAACATTTCAATACTCTTTCATTGCATAAGCATTCCTACTTTTCTTAGCTATTTGAGAGCCAATTCTTGAAGAAATTGTCGTGTTCTTGAGCGTTTACTAGTTCACTCATATCTACTCTTTGTGAGAGCTTTATCCCTGAGTGTTTAAGTGTTTTCATACACTTTAAGGGAGGTTGTTCCCTTGTTGTAAACTCGAAGGAAGTTCCTTGTTCCTTCGTGAGAAGTCTTGGAGTGCGGTATCTCCGAGCAAAGGTGTTGAGGCTCGTGTGACTCGAGTTCTCAAGTTGTATCGGTTCGTTGAGCACCCTTAAGCTTAACGGAGTTAGTGTAGCTCGAGAGAGTCTCTCGGGAGGCTGGATTAGCCACACGTTGTGGTGAACCAGGATAAAATTCGATGTGCTTCTTCCTTATGCTCTTTACTTTTACGCTCTCGTTTTTAATTTCCTGCGATTTTTTTTAAACGCTATTCACCCCCCCCCCCCTCTAGCGTTGGGCCTTTATTCTAACAAAATTTGTAAGAGTGAGATTGAATTTGGCAAATTAGGATAGAAAGAGTGAATTTAGATGTAAAATAATAAAGAACGCTATATTGATTGAATGAATAAGAGAGGAATAGAAATTATGTATTTATAGGTGGAGGAATATATTCTAGAATCCTCCACATTAATGACTAATTATATAAGGTAATATTATATAACAATAACTCTAACTATAATAGGTAACAACCATAATTATAATATAATACTAAATATATTAAAATAATTAATATATTTAACATGCTACCAACGTCTTGGAAGGTGAAGATTGAACGCCAACTTTTACTTGAATTGTGACCAGAATGGTAATCAGAAGCTAGAGGCATATCTTCGGCTTGAGTAGACTGAATGCATCCGGCCCAGAAGAGAAGAAGAAAGATTGCCAGGAAAAAGATCTGATGGCGCTGATGAGAAGAGGAGAAAAGTCACTGCGAACAGACTCATGCTTCTGACGTCGAAAGAGGGAGAAAGTTGACGTGCGCTAGAGTCGTGCACGACTAGTTTAGAGGAGAAACAAAAAGAATAAAGTGTTGCTAGGGGTGCTTGTTAACTGAAGATATGTCTACTGAGCAAGTTGATGTTACAATCTCATCTTAAATCAAGAAGCGGCGGTGATGGATCTAGAAACAGACGGTTGTGGTTGGCTGAGAATTTTTTTTTTGCTAGATGGAATTATGAAAGAATTAGGATCAAAGGAAGAACAAGCTAAAGTAAAAGTGGGGCCGCCGTCGCCGGACAAACCACTGGCGACGGCGGCGGAAGCAAAAACTATTAGGTCACCAAGATCAAAGGCTCTGATACCATGTAAAATAATAAAGAACGCTATATTGATTGAATGAATAAGAGAGGAATAGAAATTATGTATTTATAGGTGGAAGAATATATTCTAGAATCTGCCACATTATTTACTAATTATATAAGGTAATATTATATAACAATAACTCTAACTATAATAGGTAACAACCATAATTATAATATAATACTAAATATATTAAAATAATTAATATATTTAACATTAGCAATTCTTGGATTAGATTTAATCTCACCTAAATAAAAATTAAAATTTACGAATTGAAAATCTATGTTAATCGTGCAATAAAATAAAAGGTGACATTAGTGAGCTACCTAGTATTTTATCATATGATCAATAAAAGCAAATGAGTTAAAAAAAGTTGTTATGACGTTAAAATATACTCCCCCGTCACATATTGGATACCACCACTCCAAACGACGTGCAAAATTTCATCATTTTTAAAATCGTTTTTTTACAAATTAGTATAAAAATAAAAGCTATAAATTACACCATTTTAAATTACATAAAAAACTCCATAAAACAAGAGGTGACAAGAATATTTTATTTTATCAAATTATCAATGAAAATGTACAAACACACAAAAGTTATCGGGAAACCGTAATAGTGACAGTGACATCCAGTTCGGGGCCGGGGAGTAGTGAGTAATTCCAATGTCATTCCTTCCCTTCAAAGAATGAAATACATTGCCCATAATATCTTTTTTTTAAAAAAATGGGAGAATTTCATGATTTTCTTCCACATTTACAACACAATGTCTTACAACTAACATTTAAGTCATCTCACCAGTGAGGATGATTCCAGCAGTGTGGTAACCATTTGAATGTGTCTTCACAAAGGATTTATATGCAGAGTCAATTTCATGCCCTATTTCCTCCATAGAAACCAGCTTCAACTCCTTATAAAAACACTTGAGTTTTTCTCCATTGCTCAGTTTCTTGCGCACCAGCTGTTGAAGGGTTTAATTTCCTTTTACAAAAACTGCACTTCATTCTGTCATAAAGAAGGGAGTGCAAATAAATACTGCAATATATACCTCTATGTTTTTCCGAGAAGAAGATATCAAGGACAGATTTTTAGGGCCATTTCCCAAAGCTACCATTTCAGCCAAGAAAGATTCGTCTCGTCTAGACGATATGACGACATATGTGGGATTTGCCTCTTTTAACAGTTTATCGAGCGAAGAAAAGGAAACCGTATGTAGTTTCTCATGCATAATGAAATCCTGCAAATGTAACTTCATTATAAGTAACACCGAGTAGGGTCTGGGGTGGGTGGGTGTATGCTCGCAGACCTTACGACCCCTACCCGAACGTAGAGCTAGAGGCTGTTTCCAAAGAGACCCTCGGGAGTGTATAAAACAATGATAAAAATTAATAGCCGTATGAAGGAAGATGAAAACTTACAGCTTGGTTTATGCATAGCGATACAATAAGCAACTTCAAATCTTCATAATTTTGTAATTTCATTAAGAAACCCTTCAGTCCACTCCAGCAAGCGCTCCGAAACGTTTGAGCAGAAAACATCATGTGGACTTCTTCAACCTTGGGAACCCTCGAGGAACAGAACCGGTTATTCGAACACCATTCGTGCAAACAAATATACTCTAGACTAAGTAAATTCGGGGTGTCGATCTCAACACCACGCAATGTCCCGTGATCATTAATGACCAGTCCCTTTAGGCGTGAACTCGACACCTGAATCTTGTCGACCCCTTGACAGCCACTAAGTTTCAATTCTTCAACGCAGAGATGCTTACGCAAAAGATGTTGAATCGGGACACAATCCGCTGAAAGGATAGCTCCCTGCAATTCCAAACGCTTTAGAGCAGTGCAGCCAACCAAGTCCATGGAACACGGCATTAACAGCGTGCAGTCAAACGTTTCAAGACCGGGTGCAAAGATTTCGATCTTCTTGGGCTGCGTATCGCACGGTCCACACCTAATTGTCAAATTTTTCAATCTAAGCTTACATGGGAGGGAGAGAAAGCTGCACACACCATCACAATATGAAACTTCCAGAAATTCCATCCTAGGGCAGCTGCTTAGAATTTCAGGCAACACATTCTCACCCGAAAACCGACACATATAGAGTTTGAGCTTACGCAGATGTGGAAGATCAATGCGGGTTTTATGATCCCCAAGCACACATCCCTCGAGCTGTAAAACCTTTAGTGAGTCACCAACAACCACTTCCCCGGGAACGGAATACAAAAGACTGGCGGGTGTGCGGCATTTGATTTTAACCACTAGCTCGGAAACACGCCTCTCAATGGCTGCCCCTAAGCACTGGTCCATAACGGGTTGAAACTTTGCCAGGTTATGACCGGCGATACATATATGCATTTTCTGTATGGATGCTTTTCGGAACAGACATTGGTTCAAGATCATCTGAACATGAACTAAGAATGGGCATCCATAGCGTAGATTCGAGTCGACCTTATCATTTAGGACTAAATCGATGTCAGGGTAGTCGGACCAAATGCGATTCCACCCCTTTGACAACACACTAGTACGGGCAATATGTTTAAAAGAAAGAAATGACAATATGTGATGAATAACAGATTCCGGCAAAGTCGAAAAATCATCCAACAAAATGTCCTCATACCTTCCACTTTCACCTGTTAAACAACAAATTAACATATATAGGAATCAGAGAATTTCGGATAGAATTTTAACGGTTCAGATTACTTTGAAAATGCTAATGCTAAACGCTGGCCGTAGATAGCTTTTTCAAAACGCTAACGCTAATCACTAACAGGCCCTAAGGCAACAGCGTTTTCGATTAGCGTTACCGTTTTGGACAAAATTTTAGCGGTGTAGATAGATTAATTCTGAAAACGCTAACGCTAAAGCCTGCCATCAGATAGCTTTTTGAAAGCGCTAACGCTAATCTCTAACGGTCATGCCAAACGCAGCCTAAGAAGTTTACCGATCACACAACACAGCACAGTACAGTACCTGGATCCATTTGGGGTTTGAGAAGGAGAATTGGGGAGGAACGAATGAAGGAAAAAGTGGATGACAATTACAGACTCCATTAAGAAATGTGAGACTATAAGGCTATAAAAAGAAGGGAGGAGTGTGAGACAATTTTCACCTTTTAGGAATTATACACTCCCTTGTCCAGTTGTCTCCCAAATGCTATTTCAATCTCTTCTTTGATTATTTGTCTATTTTTTTCGGGTTAAAATTAGTAAATTTAACTCTAAATTAAATTAAAAATGATATTAGATATAAACACAAAAGTAACTTTAATAGATTCATTTTATAAAATATTTTCAAAATAATATTTAATCTAATTAATATAGTGGTTTTTCTTAAAAATAGCCTAGAAAGACTATATTTTTCCCATTTATTAAAAATCTTTCAAAAAAATATTGTCAATTTTATTCGATCTTTCAAAAATAATCTTACCTTCACTCTAGAGATAATGCAGGTGTTATGAATATTTACAAGCCATTTATTTATCATTTAAGTCATTTAAATGTGCGGGTGAAATTAATATGTGAAGAAACTAATTTCAGATATTTAACAGTTTGGTTTAAGCATTCTAAAAAAAGGACCTCATATTTCACTCTTTGACATTCACCTTTTTATAGAAATATCTTTTTTTAAAAAAATTTATTTTAGCAAAATATGATAATAAAAAATACAATAGTATAACCTGGTGCATGTTATAGTATCTGTTATTTGAATGATTTAGGATTTTAATTTTTAAAAAAACAAAAAAAATGATACTTTAAAAAAATAAAAAAAAATATAAATTCTTCCAAACACATTAAAATTTTATAAAAAATTATTTTTAAAAAAATGTTAGATCACAAAAAAACACATTAGAACCATTTTTTGAGTTTTATTAATTTTGTAAATGTGCAGGGATAGGAGTCGTTCTGGCATGAAGATTTTGATATGCAATGATGGAGACAGGGCAGCTAATGGGACCACTAAAGTTGTTTTTAAGATAGTTTTTCAAAACATTTAAAGTATTCTGTTTACAACATTTTTTGTATGTTAAAGTGTTACATTATACTCATCATATATATATTACATTATGCGTATTACATTCTTTAAGGCATACTTTTTAAACTAAAAAATTAATCCTCTGTTACAAAGTTGTAAAATTTATTGTTAATCTCTTCTAGATATAGTGTATTATTATTGAATAAACATTTCCCGTGCAAAGCACGGGTGATATACTAGTTTTATTTAATTATAAGTCACATGCACGTTGAAAATTGTTAATTGTAAAAAATAAAATTGGACAAATACTCAAGGACCAAAGTAGTAATCCCACATCTTTCAAATTAGCGTCATGTCAGATTTTTTTCATTTTATTTTCATGTCATCATCATTCACCAGTGTGGTGTGTTAATTCCTTTTTTATTTAAAATATTATTCAAATAACAATTTCATTTAATATTTTTATTTTATAAAATTGTTTCGGGCACCTTTGATTTTCTGGCAAGAATTCTCTGGTCCCACATTATCCAAAATATACCCCGGGAGTCCTTAAAATTTGTGGTAAGGTACTCCGAGGGTATATTCCGTCTACTTGGCCGTTAGAATTAAAAGTTATGTTACTTTGACAAATACTCCCCCCGTCCCCAATTTGATTACAATTTTTCTCTCTCTCCTCTCGATAACTTTTGTTTGCTTACGCGATTTCATTAAGTATTTTATAAAATAAAATATTCTTATCACCTCTTGTTTTATAGAACTTTTGACATAGTTTTTTAATATGTAATTTTTATTTCTTATCGATATACCGATTTGTAAATAAAATGATTTCAAAAGTTAGATATTTCTCCTCGTAAACCCCAATTTGTAATCAAATTGGGGACGGAGGGAGTACTAAATTTTTCCTTAATAATCATTTTTTTATTAAATTTAAACAAAATCTTCTATTTGTCAAAGTAAAAGAATTTTGAGTCCTAATGCGTAAATGGACGAATTGTACCCTCAGAGTATAAGATCACAAATTTTAAGGATTTTGGAGTATATTTCGTAATTTGGAACTAACAAAGTGGAAGAGTCGGTAATACGGTTGTTGGAGGATCTCATGAAATTGGTCCGTGACTATATTCGAAACTCGTCACTCGTTTGCACATTCTCTATATTACGGAGTATTAAAGTTTAAGATTAAGAGCATTACATTAAAAGAAATGATTTTACATGGAAAAAATGAACCTTTGATTGGATCTTCGAAGACGTTAACCCAAGCTATCTCCAATGTGATCACCTCTTGTGTTGGCCATGGTTTGTTTATGCTTTTGTCCTCGGGTCATTGAGATCTCTTTTTTCCCTTTTCTGCTGTTGGAGCCTTCCAATTATGTTTCGGGCACAAACTCACTCGTAGAATCAATGTCGTGTGCTTGAGATGGTTGTGGTGGCGTCGTGTAGTATGGTTGGTAGGGTGGCCACAGTGGGATTTAATATGATTGTGAGGGGTTGGAATGGATGAGACGCGTGTGAGAAACACGGTGCGTTGCCGAATCCCATCCCCTTTCCACACCGAGTAGTCTAAAAAATGGAGAAGCCCCAACCCCTAAGCCCCCCAGAACCATCTGGGCATTCTTTTGAAAGATGGTAAATTTAGTTATTATCCTTTTATTTCTAAAGATTTTTTTTCATGTGTCATAATATTTGTCCAATTTGATTTTTTTGAATAAAATTATACAAATTTTACTCGTCATTTATATTAAAAATAAATTTATTAAATAAGACTAAAGCATTAAACATATACAAAATGAGAATTTAAATATTTTTGTGTTTTAAATAGGAGTATTCATATTGTGAAATGCCACAATCCTCTTTAGTATATTCCGTATTATATGTTGCGATATTGGCATCTCTAAGTGTTTTTTGTACTGTGTTTTATACATTGATATTCTTTGGCACTATTTAGGTTTTAGGGAGTATATCATAGTCCCATGTTAGACATGTAGGACTCTTTTTCCAATCCATGGAAATTAAAGACTGAACATTTGAAATTAGGGGTTGATGGAGAGTAACATGTTTTTTTTTCAACAAAAAAAATCATATTTTGACTTTCGTTCATTTTAAAATAAAATAAAATTAAATATGTTATTTTCACTTTTTTTTAAATAAGTTCCAATTGTAATTTGTAAACATTTACTTTTTCAATGTCCCATTGCAACGATTTGAAATCAAACCATTAATTTTATCTGCAAAAGAAGAGAGTATTAAAATTTAAAGAAATCATCCGAAATAGGAGTAAACATAGAAAAACTACCAAAACTTAATATACTTTTTGGTAATGTAGATGATCATGATTGGTAATGTAAATGCATTTTAACTCATATTTCAGAAATAAAAATGAAACTACTATTTTAGTATATTTTTAATATTTTACTTCTACTTTAGTCTTTTTCCTTAACTTTTATATTTTAATTTAAGATATATAATTAAAGTAATGTCTAGAATTGACTACAACTATAATAAGTTGGAATTATTGAATCCATATTTACTCTGGCTTAATTCATTTCTTTAATGTTAAATGACATGTTGTCCTTAGGAATTTACTTACATCTAATTTCTCACTTTTGTTGCATTATGAGTAAGTTTATTTTTCCAATTTAACATCTTACAACATGCAAAGTTAAAAAAAGAAGATCTACCTTCCACTTTTGTCAAATATTTATAGTAAAATCTAGCCTCTTATACTCCCTCCATTTCTAGTTAACCATTTATTTCATTTTATGTATCAAACGTTTGACTAACTATATATAAAAATATATTTCCTCTGACCCAAAAACTTCTTCCCTTTTCTTTTTTACTTGTTCCATAAAATCTTTCTCATTTCTTTTAAAAAATTATTTTTACCCCTACTAACTCCTAACCCACCTATCACATCATTACTTTTTACTAATAATCTACATATGACATCCTACTTTTATCCTCACATCAAGGATATTTTTAGGAAAGTCAACACAAAAATATCTCTCCCTTAAATTTTCTAAAAATCAAAATGGGAATATCTTTTTGGGACGGAGGAAATACAATGAATTAAAATATAAACTTATATGATATTGATTGATATTGAAAAATACTTTAAATGTGCTATTTTTAAATTTTTTCCTAATATATTTTAAGAAATATTATTAATCAAACATTAAGTCCAAAAAACGATCCAAACAACTAAACAAGAATGGAGGGAGTAATAATTATATGGAGTTCCAACCTTCACATATTCGAACTTCATTGTCTCGAGTGAGTCTCGTAGCGGATTCCACTTCCCTAATTCGCTCGTCTTAAAACTATCTTCACTTGATCATTCAACTAAGAAGGGGCGTAATCCATACTTGTATTCATTTCTAGATAAATTTTTGACAATATAAGTTGATTTCATTCATGCTAAAAGCAAATAAGAAAGTATTCTATGGACAAAAATTTTCAATTCAATTGAACTAATGCCTAACTCTACAGTACTTGGCCAATAAGATACAGCATAGGGAGAGAAGCTCCAAACTATTTTTATCCATGGATCCATAATTGGTTCTCTAAAGAAGGTCCACTGTAGTCAATGATTTTATGTACTAGAGTTTATAAAACGAGCATGAACTTAAACACCACGAAAGAATTTGCCCTCTTTTTTTGGTAAAGATTAAGTTGCAAACTTCACTTGATGAAGATTATTCCAGCACAATGGTAACCATTTTTCGATTGCATCCTCAGAAAGGATTTAAAAACAGGGTCCTTTTTATGCTTTACTTCTTCAATAGGAACCAACTTACACTCACTATATGAACACATTATGCTCTCATCAATGCTCAGTCTCTGGTGCAACACCTGCAATTCGTCAAGAAGGGGGGAAAATAGTGTGAAAAGCGCGGTGGTGAGATCAATCCGTAGGTCTGTAAAGAAGGAAGTGCAAAGGAATAGCATACCTCTATGTTTCGGCGGGAAGAAGATATCAAGGAAAGGTTTGTTTTGCCTTTCCAATTACCCAACATGTTAGTGAAAAGAGATTCATCTCTTCTGGATGATATGATGACATATGTGGGCTTTACCCTTTTTAAGAATTTATTGAGAGCAGAAAAGGGAACCGCATGTAGTTTTTCATGCATAATGAAATCCCCCTGAAAATATATATAACCTGATTATAAATAATGATACTAATGGTGTGTTTAGTTGAGGGGAAATAATACTGATCCCCACCCTGATTGTCCATCCCCCAGCTCCCCTGCCCCTTATCCCCCACCCCACTGTCTTCGCCACACGCCAACCCGTGTCATCCACCCCCATCCTACATCACCAAGTTGCCCGCTTTCATGTTGCTAGCCTTTAAAACATATTTTTAAATATCAAATTTGAAATCTTAACCATTAAAAATGTTTTTTTTTTTGGAACAAATAATTCTTTCTTACCAAACAATGGAAAATGTTGTGTGTAATGTGTAGGGAGGGGGGGGGGGGACATTTATTTGCCCTTGGAAAATATTTTTCTCAAAAAACATTGTCCTCCCAACTAAACACACCCTAATTATAAATTTTAATAATAATGATCTCAATAAACAATATGAACTTGTTAAAGGTAAGTTTGATACCAATGATATGTTTGGTGCAGGGGAGTGGAAGGAGAGGGGGGGGATATTATCAAGTCTAAACTCCATATTTTCCTTCCCCTCACATTGAATGGTAGAAGCCCCCTTCCATTCCCTCCCATAACCTCATTCGTACCAAACGGACCCTAAGAACAATGAGAATAAAAGGAGATGAAAACTTGCCCCTTCATCATGTAGCCACTGGATAAGCAATTTCAAACCTTCATAATTTCGTAATTTCATAAGGAACCCCTTTACTCCACCCCTGCAAGCACTCTGAAAGTTCTCAACAGAAAGTGCCATGTGAAATTCTTCTAGCTTGGGAAAATTCCAGGAACAGAACCAGAGATTCGAACTACATTCCCACGAAGAAACGAACTCTAGGCTTAGTAAATTTGGGGTGTCAATTTCAGCACCAGGAAAAATACTGATACCTTCAATAATTAATCGCTTGAGGCGTGAACTTGAGATCTGGAATTTGTCGAGCCCTCGGTAGCAAAGAAGTTTAAATTCTTCAATATAGCAAAGTTTAGACAAAAATTTTTGAATATGAACAAAATCAGCAGAATCAATATCTCCACCCAATCCCAAACGTTTTAGACGAGTGCAACAAGCAAAGTCAATGGAACACGGTTTTATTCCAAAACTATATAATGTTTCAAGACTTGGTGCAAAGATTCTAATTCTCTTGGGCTCTAAATTACACACAATTTTAAAAGATTTCAATCTAGACTTACTAGGAATGGACAGAAAACTTCCAGAAACTCGATCTTAGGACAGCCGCATATGATCCTAGACAATCCATCCTCGTTGGCAAATCGGCAACTACATATCTTGAACTTCTGGAGATGTGCAAGATCGAAGTTGGCAATCCGATCTCCTAAGGTACACCATACAAGCTCTAAAACCTTTAGTGGATGAGAAAGAACTACTTCCGCGGGGACAGAATACCAGAAGATGGGTTTATAACATCGAATCTTAATCACTAGCTCAGAAACATTCCTCTCAATGGCTGCCCTGAACATCTGGCCCAAAATGGGGGAATATCTTTCTAGGTCAAAGACAGAGATGTTTATATGCATTTTGTGTACGCATGCTTTTCAAAACAAACATTGATCAAAGGACATTAGAACATGATCTAAGAAAGGGCGTCGTAGAGGATGCGTACGCTTGTAGAGCGCCTCGTGCAATACCAAATGGATGTTAGGGTAATTCAACCAAATGCGATTCCAAGCCTTTGACAACACAGATGTACGACCAATATGTTTGAAGGGAAGAAACGACAGTATATGATGAATCACAGATTCCGGCAGAACTGAAAAGAATTCCAGCGATTTGTCGTGATATCTCGCCATCTTATTCCGGGTTTCATCTGTTAGAAAAAAAGAAGATCAACAGACGAATTCGCAGAAGCGATCGCACAGAAAAACGAACATAAAAATTGAGGATGAAGATAAACAGTACATGTAACCATTTGGGAATAAGCCTAAACGAGCTAACATAAACTCAAGGTCAGCACTGTATTGATCATCTTCACCTATTCTGCTCTGCAGAGCTGACTATAGATGAGAATTTGGGGAAAATTTTAGGGATTTTGACGAAGAGAGGTATTTTGACGGGTGAAAACCCGACCGCTATAAACCGATTTTTTGTGCTGCTGGCAATTAGGTATTTCTACAAGAATAGATTTTTAATTACTACGTATATATTTAAAAATTATTTGAATATATCAAAAGTATAAAATTAGAGGTGACGTGAGTTGTTACTATATTATTTAGCTAGATAGGCATATTAAAATAAGCAAAAAAAAGTAAATAAAGATTGATTATTTGAATAGTGAATTAGAAGAAAATTTTGTAGATGTGGGGAGTATTCCTTTCTTTTCCTTATTTTTGTGCTATTTTGATTTACAATATTTGACTAAATCTTTTTTTGATTAATTGTATCTAAATATTTATGCAAATTAATAAAATAAAAAATTTATGTTTTAAAGTTACTTAAAAAATTCTACAAAATAAGGACTGAGTGACTATATTATTTTGACTAATGATTAAATTCATGAAGAAAATAATTTTTTTATTCATCCTATGAATAGTTCATGAGACAAAAAACCGAGACAAATAGAGTATTACTTTCATTTCCAAATAATCCAAAAAGGTTAGTGAGGAAATTACGATGTAAAATTTTTAAAAAAACTAATTCATATTTTTAAATTAATATAAAAATAAAAATTAAAACTTACATATTTAAAATCAACTTTAAAAGTTATTATACAAAAAAAAGGTAAAGAAAATTTATTACGACCTTAATATAATCACAATAACTTTAAATTTGGGATAGAAATTGAGAAACATCTGTCCTGGATTAAATTCAAAGTTTTTGTTTTTGTCTCGTTAAAATATATGAGAGAAAGACCAAATTAGGAGTAAGATATATAACATGTTCGCAAAATAAGAATCGAAACATAAATTTTCCTAAATAGGAGTAGTTAACTTAATTAATTTAATAGCTTAGAGTTAAGGAACAAAATAGGAATAAAATATTGATATATTCATATTATAAGTATGAAATTAAATACATTTCACAAATTTTCTTAAAAAACCCGAATTAGCTAAAAACCCATGCCATCTATGTCACTGCCGCCGCCCCTGCCACTGTACCGCCAAAAAACCTAAATTAGCCAAAAAAACACTTGCTCATACTTAAGAATAAGACTAAATTCTATAATAAGTCTTTTCTAAAAAAAGAATTTCAATATATAATCGTTTATTATCAAATACTACGTATTACGTCTCTGGGTCTTCTTTTATATATGGATACTTTTTTGCGGATTGTTATTTTTTAAAATTCTATCATATTGATGTTAAATTTAAGACTAAAAGTTTAATTTCAGAATGATAATATATTAAACTTGAGACACTCCTACTATGGTGTTAAATTGACGCATCAGTCGCAAGTGGCAATGGAGAAAGGAGATGACGGAGGATGAAGAAGAAGGCGCAGAAGGCAACAGGGGCGGATCCAGCAAGGAGAGTATGCGGGCAGCTGCCCCTAGTGAATTTTTTTTTTAATATATATATATATATATATATATATATATATATATATATATATATATATTTAATGTTTTTATTTAATTGCCCCCAATTAAAAAAGTAACCTGCCCCCAGCCAGGTTGGCCCAAAACAATTAATAGCTTAAGACCCAATCCAAAAAGTAGCCCAATTCACTCAATGTCCAATTACTAAAAAATAAATACAATTTCCCCTTCCCCAATCCCTTTTTTCCGTATCGAGAAGAGGAACCGACTACCGACTACCGAGAAGAGGAACCTGGAAGCCAGAAGATTTCACCGCTGCGCCGCATCGCCGTCGATCGTCCGCTGCGTGACTGCGTCGCCGCCAAGCAGAACAGAACACTCAAACACGGAGCACCAGCCACCAGGTTTTTCCAACTAATTTTGTTTCCTTTTTAAATTATGAACTAAATAATTAGATAAATGTGAAAATTAGATTTATGTGTAATGTTTGATTGGTGTGAAACCTTTTGAGTAATTTGTTTTTATATTTCAATTTTCTATTTGATGAAATTGTTTATTATGTTGAATTGTTGGTTATTATTAATTATAATTTATAATTGTCCCATACATATGAATAATGAATTGATGACTCTAGTATATTAATTCTAAATTGATATATTTAAATAATTTTCTCTAATTTTTGGACATAGATTTAGTAAAAAAGTATATTTCATTTTATGTTTTTAGATAATGGAGAAGTTTTTTAAACGGAAGTCCCCCTCAACACCGACAACA